AGAGAGAGAGAGAGAGAGAGTGTGTGTGTGGGTGGGCGGGTGGATGTTTCCGTGGAACGTGTTGGTTCAAAGAGGTGAGACTTTGTCTAGAATGGCGTTTCGCCGCCCAGGGTTCGCCGAGAAACGCGCCGATGTCGCTTTTGCCGAGCGTTCCAACGTGCCGAGGCTTTGTGCCGAGAGAAAAAGAGGGCCTGCGCCACTCGACACAGCCCTGAACCCTGATGAACGCTCAAAGGGTGTGTGCGCAAGCTGGGAAATGTCGATACGATCCCCACTCATCCCTCCTTGGACGCTGGACGTTCCGATTCCTAGCCTGGTGCTAAGCCCCTCTCTACACGCATCGACCATCTCTGGGGAGCGACAATGGACGCGCGGATCAAGACTGCGTTGGTGGTGCTGGTGGTGCTGGTGGGTTGGGTGGCAGCCTTGAGCTCCGATCCGGGCGTGTATCCTGGTGGCGACCAGAACCCGCTGCACGGCTGGCGTACACTACCCACCATCCCCGGCGCCTCGATCGACAATACGACGCTTACGGTGGGGAATGCGACGCTCGTGCACTACATCGACGCCGCTTACGATGCACGCCGGATCAAGCGAGCTGTGATTCAGATCCATGGCGAGAATAGGGATGCGTGGAACCAGTGGATGTACGCCGACCTTGCTGCGCAGCGCGGAGCGGAGGGTGGAGACTTTAGTAGGGACGAGGTGGTGGTTATGGCACCCATGTTCTTCAACACGCGCGACCGTGGTGCCTACCCCTACGACGAATCGCTCGATCCCGGTGCGACCACGACTACACAGGATACCTCGCTGCCGACCAACACGGCTGTACCCAGGGGTCTGGGACGTGGCGCACTGGAGCGCAGGGGAAAGTTCCCCATCCCGTTGGGCAAGGTCAGTACGACACGCGCGATGATTTGGAAGTCGGTCGAGTGGGGTGAAGGTGCGGATGCCTACGAACCGGTGGGTGCACCGGGCAGCTTTGAGGCGCTCGACGCCGCGATTGACTTTTTCCTCGACCGCACGCGCTTCCCGCATCTGCGCAAAGTGGTCGTTGCGGGATTCAGCCTGGGCGCGCAACTCACCAATCGCTATGCCACCTTCCGCACCGACACGAGCAACGACGACCGCCTGGCGTTCTGGATCTCGAGCCCCAACTCGTTTGTCTACCTCACGCCCACGCGTCCGCTTCGCATCGGTGCCGCTTGTGCATCCACCTATGCCGACTACAAGTACGGCCTCAACGGCACGCTTCCCCAGTACGTCTCTTCGTCCTCCTTGTCGCCCTCGCAACTCATCCAGAGGTATTTGGCCCGGACGGTGTACTATCTCGTAGGCATGCACGACGACTCTGCGGGCCTCGACTCGTGTGCACCCAACAGCCAAGGTCGCGGCCATCTGGATAAGATGTGGTACTGGACCCAGCAGACGCTCCCCTTGCTACCGGGCAGCACGGGCAGGCAGGGGCAACTTCCAGACAAGAGCGAGGTCAGATTCGTTGCAAAGACCGGCCACCAGGACTGGAAGATGATCACCTCGGACCCTGGCGTCGAAACGCTACTCCTCAAAGCATGGTTCGCCAACGGAACCGATGCAAACGCGCCACAGAGCAACGGTGTCACGGCAGCCAAAACTCCCTCCTTGCAACAGGTGACCAACTCGGCGCCCTCGATCCGTGCCAACTTGGTCGCATTGCTCGCCGCGGCGGCAGTCACGCTGCTCGTCGCCCTCCCACTGTAGAAATCCTGTAGACTGCTTTGGACTGCATCGCAACACGCACAATAGAAGTAAATTATTGGCATTACCACCTCATGCCGTCTCGCTCGTCGGTTGCTCGTCGTCTGCCTTCACCTCGTCCTCGACGAGTGCAGCGGCAACCGCCGCCCCGCGCAGTGAGATGGTCGCGTCGTCATCCTCTTTCACACCGGCGAGCTTCTGCGTATGCTCCTCTTGGTCCTCTTCATCCTCCTCATCGTCATCCTCATCGTCATTGGACGAGAGGAAGCTGTGTTTGTCCGCGTCGGTGGGCCCAGCAGCCCAGCTGGGCGCATGGTCGTCTGCCTCGTCGTGGTCTGGTCTGCTGAGAATCGCCGTGGGGCGCGGACTGGGTGCGGGCGGAGGCACGAGCCCCACCGCATCCGCCTGCATGCTCTGTGGCAACGTGCGCTGAGCCGCCGTCCCGCTCCTCTCGCGCTTTGCCGTCGTACCGTTGGCCACCACCGGGCCCCGCGAGAACAGCTCGCTCTCATCGCCGCTGTGACCAGCAGCGCTGGGTCGGGGCGGAAGATTATCGGTGGCCGTCAGGTCGTACGTCTGAACGAGGCTGTAGAAGCGTTCGTAGAGCGAGGTTTCGGCCTCGCACGCGAGGAACGTGTCGCGGTGATAGCACCATGCGTGCACAAAGATGCGGCTCAGCCGGCGGGCGATGCTGCCAAAGTGGCGCAGACTCGTGTTGGGCACGTACGTGCGCGAGGGAAAGTGGCGCGCCGAGTTGAGCAGCGACGTGGCGCCGTCGAGCGTATGCACCATGTAGTCGATGGCGCAGCACTGTTTCTCCTCACCGTGCGATGCGCACAGGTACATCCAGTCGCCCGCATTCATGGCCGCACACGTCTGTGGCCGCGCGTCCCGGTCGCACTCCTGCTGCAGCGCCGTCAGCCACGGCGTTGTGAGGTCGAGTACCAGACGCCGCAGTTGCTCGTATACCCAAATGTCCGTGTCGACGTTCTGCAGCATGCCATCGTCCTCCGAGTCGTCCTTCGACTTGCCCTTGTCGGACGCTTCGATGTCCGCTTCTGTGGGCAGAGAGGTGATGGCTTCGACAGCGTGCGGGTCGCGACGCACCAGCATCGCCAGGTACTCTTGCAGCTGGAACGGGCTCTCGCCTCCTGCTGCCGACGAAGGACCGGCAGCGGAAGAAGACGACGCTGCCGGTGCAGCGACAGTGGCTGTGGATCGCGGCTCGTCGGAAGAGTGCATGCGCTGCTCGGCAAGCAGCACCACCTCGTCGAGCTTCTGGCCGCGGCGGATGCGATTGCGCCGGGGTGCGCTGGGTTTGGCGACCGCGGCGAGCTTGGTGGATGGAGCGACGCCGCCCACGGGTGTGGTGTCGGAGATGCTCATGGTGAGGATGCGGTGGTGGTGGTGGTGGCGGTGATGATGATGGTGGTGGTGGTGGTGGT